AAGACCATCCGTAAGTGCACAAGACTCTGTGGACTTAGGATTGTACATTTCTGAAATGAAAAACCAACAGAGCTACGATGTCACCATAGTGTAGATGATGCTTTCAGCTCGGCTCAGCTCCACACAAGCCAACAGAGATCAGTAAGGACGCAAAGGCAAACGAGAGAGTTTTCATGAGGAACTGAAGACAGAAGTATAGGGGGTAAGGTGGAAAGAGGCAGAAAGTGCTGAACATTAGCTCATGTGAATTTCTCAGCCTATGGCAGTGGCTGAACAAAAGGAGAGAACATGCTCCCTTCCTGGTGGACTTTTGGTTTGTGCAAGTGTATTGTCAGAGACAGACAGACAGACAGAGAGAGGAGATACAGAGATAGTGAGAAAGAGGAAGGGAGGAAGGAAAGGAGGGAGCAAGGGAGAAAGGGAGGGAGGAAGAGAGGATGGGCAAGAAGCAGGATGGGGAGGAGGGAAGTACAAGATTGAGGGGGTGGAGCGGGATAAGGAAGGCAGAAAGAAGTTCATATGAAATTTGTTCATTTAAGAGACCATGAAGCAAAAGGTTTCATTGAAAGTTGAATTTTTGTTTGTTTTAATTTGTTGGGAGGGGCTCAAGGGTGGAGTGCGGGTGGGGTTGGGGAGCAGTGAGAGAATAATTTTAATGAACACAAATCTTGCATAATATTAGCTGCAGAAAGGTCAGCATCATCTACAGTAGCCCTCACAAGCTGACTTGATTTAGAAACTACTGTTACCATGTTTCAAAGACAAGAAAATCTCAGGAGCATGGATGGGCCCAGAATCCAACACAGTGAGTGAGTCCGGAAACTAGTCACTAAAGAAGAAAAGTCACTGAAAGAAGAATGTGCCTGTCCATCCGGAATCCCTGCTAGGTACCCTGTGACACAGTTGGAAAGGAGAAAGCAAGAGGGAGCAAAGGCCTACAAATCCCAGCACCCAGGAGGCTAAGGCAGGAGGACAGTAAGATCAAAGTCAGACTAGGCTGTGAGTGAGATGCATCTCCGGGACAGAAGCAGGTTAAAGAAGTCAAACTGAGAGAGAGGAGTTCTGCACTAATCTCAGTGAGAACCCTCACGAGTGAAAGAACACACTGGTAAAACCAACTCCACGAGAATAGCAAAGACCCCTAGTGGGGTCAGAGGTAACACTCGCTTTGGCTAGGCAGGGTCAGGAGAACACGAGTCCACCCATTCATTCTCTCTAGTCCTGTAGAATTCATACTTGCTTTTAAGGAAGTAAGCAGGACATAAGGGGGCCCCCCTCCTGTCTTTCATCTGTATGACAACAGTGCTGCCTTGCTAGCTACGGCCACCATAGCTCACTAGAAAGGAGCCTAGAGAATAATATGTACTCTGGAAATACTTGCTAAATGACTAAATTAGGAAAAAGAATTCTTTGTGGGAAGGTTCCAGAAAGGTTGGACATCAGAGTTAAGCAGAAGAAGCAGCCCAGCGATAGCATCAAGAGTCAACAAGGGTTTGATCTGAAAGACTTCAAAACATGAGCGTGGCAGGAAGCAAAGAAGAATGGACACTATTTCATTAAAGTCTGGGGGGTGAGTTCAAGGTGTTCGTGTGGTCACGATTGTGTCCCATGGATGTAACACGAAGGAAAAGTAGCAACACGTGTAGACATTCAGTGGCACAGATAAAATGAGCTATTGGCAGTTCAGTGTTGCTGTGGAAGCCAGGAGGCATTTTCTTCAGTGATGTCACCCCTGATAAGATGCCAAAGTTCTCCTAAATATCCCCTGACCCAATCTCATGTAAGCAACCTAAACTCACTGGGGCATTAAAATAAAATAAAAAAAAAAAAGAAAAGAATCAACAGACACAGGGAGGAGGCAGGAGGGAAATAGGGAAAATGTGACCGAAATATTTTTTACTTATGTATACAAATGTGATAATGAAATCGATTACGATATACAATTAATATATGCTAATAAAACCATAGGTACAAACAATACTTTCTGGCAGGAGTGGACAGGTAAGCTGCGAAGGACAAGCTTTTGTGAACAGTAAAAACTGAACCGGCCCGTCACACGGCCAGGCTACCCTGCCATCTTTATGTCTTCATTTCTCTACGACTTTGGTACTTGTTTGATCCCCATTCATTTCATTAGTTTCCAAATCTTCGTTAATTTTCTACAGTTATATTCGGGTTCACCTCTACCATCAAACCTCTAAGGACTGTGTCTTGCTAAGGACTTAGTCTCAGTCCTAGACACGCTGTGGTGGATACTGAGTTTTTGAGGGTACAAACTGTGGGGGATACTGTGGAAGAAGGAACTGGTGTGAATGAGAATCACACAACAGAAATGAACAATAGCACTATGCATCCACATATCTATATCTATATAGATATACATATATATATATGACATATTCACATATAAAAAAGCATGAATCAGTTACATGTACATAGTTTGTTATTATGTTAAGATGACCTGAGGTGACTTTCATTAAACTAAGCTCCATTAACCATTGTTATTTCATCTCATGTCATTTTTCCTTACTAAATAAGGAAGACAATAGTTTGTGTCTTTTTATTTTAAAACAGTAAGACATTTAACTTAAGGTTGGGAAGGGAGTGATGCAAAGCCTTGGAGAATCCTGAAAGGGTAGAGGGAGGTTCTACAGGTTGGTGGGGAAGAACAGGCCATGCCGTTCTCTTGAGTTTAGCCCAGGATGAAGACAAACATCCGTGTCTTCCTCACAATCCCTCACTTCATTCTTAGCTCTCAGCAACTGCCTCCCTTTATCATCTACCTTCTTGAGTTCCTCCCTTGAATTTAGCACTTTCCCCACACTAACAAACTGACTGAACTCCGATGACCCATCTCTTTCTCTGAGTAGCCAAGCACTGGTGAACGCAGGTGACCTGCCATCCCAGAGAGGTCCTGAACCACTCAACTCTTTCCCCCTGAGATTAGGAACACTTGGGCAAGCAGCTCCCAGGCAACCTGATTTCACTAAATTAGAATTCTCCCTAAAAGCCCAGCACCTTACATTGAGATGATTCCCCTGGTACATAGAATATACTTTAGATTCCAGAAAAGTTGTGTTTTCTTTGGGTGTGCTAGCCCAGCAGTTCACATGCTCCTTCCAGAGTGAGACACAACAGAGTACACTACTCCCTAAGTTTTCAATAAATAAGTGAGTGGGTGACCCATCAAAAAAATCAACTCCCTCTGCTGCCTCTGTGGCTGTGAAATTGAGTACACAAATCGCACTGTGAAGTCAACTTGTTTTCAATGGAAATAGAGTTGTTAACGTTGAGGGAGAAGAAAATAATCTACGGTTGGGCCAGAAATGTGTCTTCCACACTAATACTCAATACACACATGAATCGAGTAGCCTTAGTCTCGAACCAGCCTACTGCACCAATGCCCAAGGCTCTGTTTTATACCGATGTTCTTCAACCTCCTAACAGTAAGTTAGGAATTAAAATGTGCCAACAAAGCCTATGGGTCCTCTTCACTATAATTTCCATCTCGGCAACTGTCAGGGCACGGCTTTGCTAGCTGTGAAAACAAACTTCCTTGAGAAACATATTCTTCTCCTACATAACCCCAGTTCTCCAATTTCATTTCCACTGCACACGGTCAACATTAGCTTCAAGCATTCGTTTTTCTTAACTGTTCAGAAACATTCACTATTTATTTCACCAAATAAATATCTTACACAATACACACCTTGCCAACAGTTTCTTATGCCTGATGAATGTTCAGTGAACGTTTTAAAAATCTAGCCTAATAATTAAAACCAAGAGAATTTCCAAGCCATACTGTTAGATCCTACTGAGTTTTACATTAGGCTTTCGGACTGCAAAATGTCTACAGCTAATATCGTCACTGGGAGAGTAGCTAGCAGAAACCAAAGCATGAAGAAAATAGTCCATTAGGAAGCAGTTTTAGAAGGTTTTCCACAGAAGTTACTTCGAGGGTGTTTGTATTTTATTGCCCGACAGCTTTCTAGCTAAGATCAGCAGTCACATTCCCAGGATTTTATTGTCCAATGGAAACACGGAGCATCCAGGAGAAACCTGGAAATGCTCTATCACAGATGCTTTCAATACCGATGCCGTCACGCTGACGGACACCTGGAAAGGCCAGTCAACGCTTTACTGAACAATATAAGAAGGCATCAAACATTAGCAAGACGGCATAAAGCCGAGTGTTTCCATTTCACAGCACTAGAAATAGTCACAATTGGAAATGACCTTGACAGGGGAGAGAAAAAACCAACAACAAAGAGCAGGGTAAGGTCACCATCACACAGTGATTAAGAAGACAGAAGAGAACTTTCTAAGTCACTAAACTCACCGATATTATACTGAACTCTGGCACTGGGCATTTTCTTGTGCCGTTAAGAGAATTTAGTAGGTTCACTGGATTGACTGACTTCTTTGTTAATCTATTTGCATGGGTTAAGACCCTGACTGACATAAAACACAACCCCAAAAAAATGCCAGACAGAGAGCGCAATGAAAGACTGACTGATGTATGCTTTGGGGTACAGCCTATCCAATAAATGTGCCTGGCCAGCAAAGAACCCATTGGCAAAGATTTATTATCGGAACAAATAGATTCTAAAAAGACTTGAGTACAATCGAACCTGCTGTAGGCATTCACACTTAAATACAGCTTGCCCTAGCTAGCTCAGTTTTCATTTACTCTTTTAGATTCTTTCCATAAGTTCCCTTTTAGAATAATCAACAAGTAAAAGCAAGGACGTAGCATGGCATTTGCCATTAGCGCGTAGTCCTTCGAGTCACGCAGGAGAAAGCAAAGTCTGGCCTACCACTCCAGGATAACCGCTAATTCATGTGTAAAGGGACGGAAGTATGACAATAAAATATACTATTAAGAGAAAAGTAAAAACCCATCACCTAAAATAAATTATCACAGCTTAATTACATGTAACACGTGAAGAGCAAGCTTGTAAAGTCAAGGGCAGATGTGGAAAGGATTGTAAAAGTTATACCTCCGAGTTCTTTTACATTCAAGATGGCATTCTGGAATGGCACTGCCTTTATACTAAAACCTAAAATTAGAAAACAGAAAAGAAGAATTAGCAACTCGACTTTTACATTGAGACACTTAAGATGGTCAGATCCTGTGTTTGGGGAAAACTGAGGCTGGCTCTCCATAGCTCATATTTATAACAGAAACTTATCATTTCCAAGGGGAAATAGGCTTATATTCTCTTTCACTATTCTGAAACATCATTTAATATTATAGTCAAATATAATACTATCCCCTTCCCTTCAAAATACTGCCCTATTCCTTAGCATATAACAATTATGCAGTTTTTTTACCAATTAGAAGATAGCCAAAAAATGAGAAATTTCAAAGAAAATATGGAATCTATGGGGCCTAAGGATTTAGTTCTTAATATATTACACTTTTTTCTCGTGTATAGTCCAGGAACTAGTGATAAAACAATTAAATAGAAACTATCTTATATTTGAATTTTCTTGTATTTCACTTAAATACACCTATATTTCTCTTTAAAAGTAAAATTATAAATAATCATTTATACACAAATAATTTTACAAAGAATATCATAAAACAATGATAATGTTCAGAGAATATAGTTCTAAACTAACAGCATACTTAGGGTCTAACTACTCATAGTGAAGGCAACCAATTTAGCTGGAACACATAAGAACGTACATATACAGTTGGGCAGTGTTGGTGCACACCTTTAATCCCAGCAGGCGGATCTCTGTGAGTTCGAGGCCAGCCTGGTCTACAAGAGCTAGTTCCAGGACAGGCTCCAAAGCTACAGAGAAACCCTGTCCCAAAAAACAAAACAAACAAACAAATGTACATAAATACATACACAGACACTGGATATTTCTGAAAGAAACAAGAAACTGGACTAGCAATGACTTGAGAGAGAACTGGGGACCTGGAAGCCTGAAATAGATTCTCTTGTTTCAACTGAGTACCTTTGCCACGTACTTGTTTTCTTCTTTTTTCTTTAATTTAATACTTGTTGTAAGGAGACCCCACTTGTTGGTTCCCGGCAATCATACAGAAACCATATTATTTAAATCACCACTTGGTCCATTAGCTCTAGCTTCTTATTGGCTAACTCTTATATATAAATTTAACCCATCTCCATTAATCTGTGTATTGCCATGAGGCTGTGGCTTACTGGGAAAAGTTCCGGCATCTATCTCCGGTGGGGCTACATGGCTTCTCTCTCACTCTGCCTCCTTTCTCCCAGCATTCATTTTAGTTCTCCCCACCTACCTAAGTTCTGCACTATCAACAGACCAAGGCAGTTTTTTTACTCAAATGGTATTCACAGCATACAAAAGAGAATCCCTCATCAAATAATAAAATAGTAATTTTAATAAACTTAATAAAAGAACAAAATAAAATAATCTTTTAAAGCTAATTTTTTGGTAGTTTCAGGGTATGGCTTTATCATGAATAATTACTATGAAATAGTTGTTTTTCACAAAATTACCAGTAAGGAAGAAAAACATACAAATATTTTCACTTCAGATATCATGCTTGGTGATGAGGAGAGTAGAAAGCTCTAATAGGCACACTGTAGGTAAGAATGACCACATGGCATTGCTTTGCCCAGCCTATCTTTCGTATGCCTTCTCTCCACGTTCTCCCAGCATTTTGATAAGCTAGAAATTACAACCAATCATTACTGCTGTTGTTATTATTATTATTATCTCACTTATTATATCCTGAATACAGTTTCCCCTCCCTCCCTACTCCCCAGTCTTTTCCAAGCACCTCTCTTCTCCCCTAGATCCACCCCTGCTTCTGTCTCCCCTCAGAAACAAGCAGAACACCCAGGGACGTCAACCAAAGACAGCATAACAAGCTACAATAAGATGCGGCAAGTAAAACCATATCAAGGCTGGACTAGGCAACCCAATGGGAAGAAAAAGGTCCCACAAGCAGGCAAAGGGGTCAGAGACAGCCCCCAGTTCCCTCTGTTAAAAGTCCCACAAGAACACCAACCTACTCAATCATAACATACAAGCAGAGGACCTAGATCAGACCCCTACAGGCTCCCTGATCTCTGCAAGTCCCTGAGTCCCGGTCAACTGATTCTGTGGACCATGTTTTCATGGCGTCCCTAACATCTCTGCTTCCTTCAATCCTCCCTCCCACTTCTTGGAAGAACTCCCTAAACTCCACTTAATATTTGGCTGTGGGACTCTGCATACGTTCCCATCAGTGTGGATGAAGTCTCTCTGGTCTCTGACAACAGTTCTGCTAGGTTCTGGTCCAGAACACTCTGCAGGCAGGACAATCTGTAGGTCAAAGGTTTTGTGGCTGAGTTGGTATACTAATCCCTCCATTTGAGGCCTTGTCTGGTTAGAGAAGATAGCCTGTTGAAGTTCTGTGTACCCCAATACTAGGAGTCTTGCTAGGGTTATTCTTGAGGATTCCATGGGGTTTCCATTGCACTGGGTCTCCACTTTGCCCCCCATAACGACCCCAATTTCAGTTGTTTCTCCCAGTATCCCCCACCACTGATCGCTTTTGTTCTCAACCCCACCCACTGCCCATCCACTGGTGAAACCTATTCTATTTCCACTTCCCAAGGAGATCCTTTCATTCTCCCTGAGCCCTCCTTGTTACTTAGCCTCTCTGGGTCTATGGACTGTAGCATGATTATCTTATCTTATACTTTACAGTTAGTATCCACTCATAAGTGAATACATACCATGTTTGCTTTCAGGGTCTGGGTTACCTTACTCAGAATGGTTTTTTATTTTCACATTCTATCCATTTGCCTGCAAATTTTATGTCATTGCTTTTAACAGCTGAGTAATAATACTTCATTGTGTAAATGTACCATATTTTCTTTATTCATTCTTTGGGTGAGGGATATCTAGGTTGTTTCCGGGTTCTAGCTATTAAAAACAAAGCTGCTATGAACATCGAGCAAGTGTTCTTGTGATAAGATGGAACATCCTTTGGGCATATGCCCAGGAGTGGTATAGCTGGGTCTTGAGGTAGATTGATTCTCAATTTTCTGAGATACCATCATATTGATTTCCAAGGTGGCAGTACCAAACTGTACCAGTTTGCATTCCCACCAGCAGTAAAAGAGTGTTCCTCTTGCTCCACTTCCTCGCCAACAGGTGCCGTCAATTTGTTTTGGATCTTAGTCATTCTTACAGTCCCATTTTGAAGACAGCATTTGACAATAGTTGAAGAACCGACTTTGGCATCAGACAGAACTAGACACATTCCAACTCTTCCAGTGTGGGCAACCTACTAGGCTTAGCTTTCTCATTTGTAAAATGGAAAGACAGTATCTACTCCCCAGCCTTGTCATGGGATGACATGATGTAGATACTGGGTCTATTACAGGTTAAAAGTGCAGAAAGTCACTGGATCTTTATGAGAGAGAGAGAGAGAGAGAGAGAGAGAGAGAGAATGAGTGTGAATCCTGTCCTGAAGTGTTGGTGTGTACCTGGGCCTACAGCAAAGCCTCTCCAGGTGTCTGGCCTCTGGGAAATCAGGGACAGTCAGTGCCAATCACAATACTCCTACAGGCACTGAAATTCCCCTGCAGGAAATTTGGATGCTTGAATATATCTATCTACCTTACATGGATATTCTATGGATTAAACAGCAATGATTGTGAAATCCTGGAAACAAAAGGACTCTGCAGATGCTCAACAGTCTATTAGTGGTTATGTCCAAGGCAACTCTCAAGAATGGATTTTCCAGAGAGGCAGCAGGGCAGGTCCAAACTTTGAAGAAGAAAGCTATGGAGCACGCCAGTAATGTTTAATTGGCTTTGATTCTTAAAAGCTGACAACAGGCGGGACTCAAAAGAGAAGTAACATCCTAGAAAGGCCACAGCCATATGCAAAATGCAACTTTAGGCATGCATTAATCCAATAGGCAGGTAATGTGACTGTTACTATCTTTTAACTCTTTGCAGATTCTCCATAATTAACTACAAAAACATCAACTGTTCACGTTAAATAAAGTAACCAAGTAATCTTATTTATAGGCATATAAATGTTTCTGAAGAATACCCAAAATGCTTTCTCCCCAGAATGAACATGTGAAGCTAGATTTATACTGCAAATGCATTCAGGGTCTCCCATACTATGGTCCCCATATCAGCCTTATATTTAGCTCTGGTAATTGTTGCTCAGGAAACAAAGTCTAGATCATCAATGTAGAAAACAAAAAAATGAATTTTTCATGGAAGAGAAACAGTATTTCTCTATCTTGGTTATTCTAAATATTTGCGAAGACTAAACAGCAGAGCTAAAAGGGGAATGTAACATTTTCAGTTCAAAGATATCCAACCAAGAAGAAAAGAAAACCCACACTCCATGTTATTTCTCTTTACAGTGGGTTGGATGGATGAGGGTTAAAGACGTTAGGAGAGTCAGAAAAAGTCAAATCATCAAAAACTGTCCAAGGATGGCTTTAAGAAATCAAAGCATGGGCTATAAAGAGTATAAAAGTCTAGGTTCAAATCTTGGCCGCATCCATAACTAGCTGTTGGATTTTATCAGGAAAGTCTTTCAGATATATTTTGTTAATGCATGTACTTCCACATTCCAGGGTTGCCAAGGATTTTCAGCTAGTTTACCTGTTGTGGGAACCCGATGGCACCATAGGTGCACTGTCCCAAGAAGGAAGTGAAGCTAAGTGCTACACTGAATACTGAACCAAGGTCTTGAACAGAATCATGTAGTGCTTCGAATCCTGCAGGCACCAGTGAGCAGGTAGATTCACACTAATGTGTTTACTTCTGAGCTAGAGATGCTGGTTCTAACAGTGCAACTTGTGTGACTCATGAATCCACACATTTATTTTCCTTTGTGTCTATTAATAATTTGACATGAGCCACCCAAATTAATTTTTTCAAAGCTAAACAACAATGCTTTTTTTTTTTCATTGGCACAAAAATAAGAGCATGAGTTTAGAAAGCCCTTCATGGCTGGGAACTATTAATAAGACCTGGATCTTGGGAAGGAAGTGGTAACTTGCAACTGACTAGGCCCTGACAGCATGAAAGACTCCTAA